TTTTTTTAATATATCTTTATTGATTTCAGACAGAGGAAGGGAGAGGGAGAGAGAGATAGAAACATCAATGATGAGAGAGTCACTGATCGGCTGCAGCCCACAACCTGGGCATGTGCCCTGACTGGGAATTGAACCCCGATCTCCTAGATCCTAGGCTGATGCTCAACTGCTGAGCCACGCCCGGCCTGGCTGTCTGTATCATTTTTAACTTTTAAAACATTATATTGAGATATTATTGATGTGCTTGAATAGATAACACTCTTATCTGCCCTCCAGCCACACAGCCTGCCTAGAGAAACCAGTGTTAAAGTGCTGCTGTTGCTTCCCAGACTAGAATGTTCTCATGAGGTCACTAGAGCAGCAGTTATCATCTTCATTTCCAAATGGGGAAAATGAGACACAAAGGAGGACTAGCTTTGCCTAAGGACACACAGCAAGTCAGTGGCAGAGCTGAACTTATCACGCAGGTCTCCTGACTGAGGTCCCTAGCTTTCTGGCTGCTGCTCCAGACGCACATTTAAGTCACGCTGTGCTGCCCTCTAACCACGACCTGGCTGCATCTATGCTGTGACCTGACATGTCCATTGGTGGACTGTGACTATATGTGGGGGAAATATTTTGTCTGGCCTGTGTCACACCTGTCCACATCTGTTCTGGTGTGTTGTGGCTGATTTGTGACCTGGCATGTCTGTGGCAGGTGTGGGAAGAGAGCCTCCAGTGAGTTCCCAGAATGGACAGAGCCCTCCGGAGCTACAGGACCCTGAGGCACCCAGCTCCTCAGGCCCAGGACACCTGGTGGCCCTGGGCAAGACCGATAGGGTCCCAGTGGAGCCTAATATAAGCCAATCAGATGCAGAGAACGCAGCACCCACCTGCCAGGAGGAGCCCGACACCCCACCTCGCCGCCGTGGCCGACCCTCCAGGCGCTTCCTAGGCAAGAAATACCGCAAGTAAGTGGAACAGAGATGAGGGTCAGGGAGGCAGCCGGGTGGCCCCAGCCCAGCCAGACCTCTCCTCAACACCCTCCTGGCAGATATTATTACAAGTCACCCAAACCACTTCTGAGGCCCTTCCTGTGCCGCATCTGTGGCTCCCGCTTCCTGTCCCACGAGGACCTGCGCTTCCATGTAAACTCCCATGAAGCCGGAGACCCCCAGCTCTTCAAGTGCCTTCAGTGCAGCTATCGCTCACGCCGATGGTCCTCACTCAAGGTGCGAGCTGCAGCTGGAAAGGAGAGTAGCTGGGAAGGGGAAGGGGAAGGGGAAGGCACAAGGCATGGAGGGAAAAGGAGGCTGGATGAGAGAAGGCAAAAGCCAACTGGTGGCGCCAAGAGGGAATTGGAGGTAACAGGTCCTTCCTGGGCACCATCTCCTGCTGCTTTGCCTGGCGCATGTCTGGGCTGCCATGAGTGGGTTGTAGTTTTCCCCCATGGTTGGTTTTGCAGGTCACACACACTATAGCGGCGTGGCATCTTCAGGGGTGCTATTTGTGTAGTGGACATCATAGGTCTGCTTGTTCACCACCATCGCCAGCAGGTGGCAGTAAAGCTGGTTTTATCTAATTCAGTACATTAAAGTTTTCTAGCAGTTGGCAGTAATGTGTCTCATGAGAGGAGCCCAGTACCCAGGCCTTGTAGGCCACTCTCATTTCATATCTTCACGCAGCCCAAGGAGGTCTCTTATAGGTGTCTATAGTTCCATTTTACTGACCAAGGAAACTGTAATTTGGCTGGACCAAAGTAAGGCAGCAAGTTAGCCATCACTGGGGGTCGGGGATCCTCAAGGAGAAATAGCCACAGCCCCTGTGCTTTCTGCACACAGTGCTTCCTCACACAGGGACCGGTGACCTGGAAGTTGTTCTCTGGAACCTCAATGGTGGGGGACTGGGGTGGCTATCCCATCTTGCAGTGGGGAGGGTGTAGGCTGTGGAGCTGTGCTGCCTGGGTTCAACTTCCAAGTTCATAAGGTCACTGTGGGACCTCAGCAAGTCACTTCACTCTGAGCCTCAGTTTCCTCCTCTATCAAATGGTCAATGGGACAGGGCCTGGTGCAGCACAGCTATGCTTGTTGGGGTGAGTCCCCAGCCCTCATAGGCCCCAATGCTGGCAACACTCCCTCATTCTGCGATCCTGCTCATACAGCAAATCTAGGTGAGGTGTGGCAGGAGGGGAGTCTGAGCCCCCGCCCACTCTCCTTTTGCCTCTCTCCCAGGAGCACATGTTCAACCATGTGGGCAGTAAGCCCTACAAGTGTGATGAATGCACCTACACCAGCGTCTACAGGAAAGATGTCATTCGGCATGCAGCCGTGCACAGCCGGGACCGGTCAGTGGGTGGGGGTGGGATGGGGACAGGGTGGGAACCTGGGAGCCCAGGATAACCATGGTTCCAGTTAGTATCTGCTCAGGGCCAAGCCCATTCACAACACATTACAGACATTGGAAAGAGAAGACAATTTATCCTAGATCACTTGGCTCAAATAGAGCAGTAGCAGGACCTTGAGGTCCCTTACTTAGTCTCTTCCCTGCTACAAGCTTTAGTTTCCCATCTGTAGAATGGGAACTGTCATTGTTGAGGGGATTAGAGGAAATTGTATACCTAAAGGGGCTCCAGTAAATGATCTAAAGATTTCCAGACTCCTGGTCCACACTCATCTTTCATGGCACTGAGAGAGCAGACTTCGGACACGTATGTGGCAAAACAAAAAGCCTTAGGAGCTTAGTGATAGCTCGCTGAACTAAAATTAGATCTGCAGCTTCAGGAACGAGTTAGCTCCACAGGAAGGAGGAGCAGTGAGCAGAGGCTGGATACAGGGATCCACTAGGTGGATCTGTTAACAAAAATTCCAAAAGAAATTAAAAGAGAATTTTATTCATATATGATTTGCAAATCAAAGAACATAGTCCTCAGTATGAACAAAAGACTTGCAAAAGACTAGGGAAGCAAGATCGTAAACTTACATTATTGGTTTTCTTTTCTCATATTGCCATATATAAATGTATCAAGTCAACAGGTTACACATCTTACATCATTTGTTTTTTGATCAGTGGTGGCAACTGGATTTTTCAGCAGTGGGCTGACTCAGTGGTCAGCAAGTGGGGCTGTGATGCAAAAATCCAACTGTTGGGCCACATATGATGATGTAAAAGTTCTTATAAGTCCTCAGATCTCAGACTGTGTTTATGGGAAAGCCATTTCTCCAAGGTGCTTACAGGTTTTCCTAAAGTAAAAAGGAAAGGGGGTTTCTATGTCCAAATAATGTTGGGGACATCAGGTTGAACCACTAGTACAACAGTATTTTTTCCTGTGGGACTTCTCAGAGTCTTTAAAATGCAAATGTATTTTGTGACTGAGAGAAAGAATACACCATTCCCAAATGTAGTGAAGTGCACAACTTATTTATAGTACTCTCAGCATTTTCCCCAGCAAACTCTAAGAGAAAGGGGCTTGGGTGGAGAGTAGGGACACTCAGGGCTGAGACTGGGTCTCAGGGGCTTGAATGGGCTTGGAGAAGTGATGTTCTAATTCCCATGCCTTTTTCCCCCAGGAAGAAGAGGCCAGATCCTGTAAGTCTGGGGCCCTGGCCTGGGAAGGGAACCAGCTTGAGGGCTGCTTGTGGGAATGGGGCCGGGAAGTGAGGTCTCTTCATCTGGCTCCTTCTCATCCCTCTCCAGACCCCAAAGCTGAGCTCCTTCCCCTGTCCCGTGTGTGGCCGTGTCTACCCGATGCAGAAGAGACTCACACAGCACATGAAGACACACAGTACTGAGAAGCCCCACATGTGTGACAAGGTAGGTGGGGCCAAGGGCTGGGTGGGGGTGGGGACAGGAAACCTCCCTGGGTCATCCATCACCCAACTCAGCCTACCCCTTACAGTGTGGAAAGTCTTTTAAGAAGCGCTACACCTTCAAGATGCACCTGCTCACCCATATCCAGGCTGTCGCCAACCGCAGGTATGTCCCTTGAAAGGTCCCTGAGGCTGGAGCAATCCCCACCCCACCCTACCGCTGAACTGTCCTCCCTCTGACCACCGCCAGATTCAAGTGCGAGTTTTGCGAGTTTGTTTGTGAGGACAAGAAGGCACTGCTGAACCACCAGCTGTCCCATGTCAGCGATAAGCCCTTCAAATGCAGCTTTTGCCCCTACCGTACCTTCCGAGAGGACTTCCTCCTGTCTCACGTGGCCGTCAAGCACACAGGTCAGGCCAGCCACTCCTCCCTGTCAGCCCTAACCTCACCCTTGCTCCCAGTCAGAGCCTCAGCTCTGACCTCCTCCTCCCCTGCAGCCACAGGAGCAGCTGGAACCCTTCAGTTGTAAAGGGAATCCTCTCTGCAGGAGCCACTCTAATCTCAGCTCCAGTTCTAGCTCAGCCTACTGCTCTCAGGGTGGCCCTGGGCCAGTCATTTTCCCTCTCTGAGCCTTCCTTAGCTGTGAAATGGGGGAATAGAACTACTGTATGGTGGTTATAAAAATGAGTTCCATTTGTTCCCTGAGCCCTATCTGTGCTGGGCACTGGGCTAGAGATGGGACTTAAATAGGCTCTGCCCTCAGGAGATGAAGCAGCAGAAACAGCATCAGTCTATGCTTGCCCCATGGAAGGCGTGCAACAACAGTTGGTTTTTTCTTCTCCTTGGTATCCAGCTGTCTGTCAGGCACACTAGGGGAGATTAGAGAAAGGAAGCCAGGGGCTCCCTTCACCAGATTCCTGTCTACCTGGGGGCTGTTATTCACAAGAGGAGTGTGTGGTCATGTGACCTTGAAAGTAGGCATTGGCAAGAAGGCTGTGAGTGCAGAGGGTGGACCTGGTTCGCTTCTGTCCTGGCCCACCACCATGGACAGCACGTGTGTTTGCCTGAGCTCAGGAAGGAATCACTGGGAGTGAATCACTTGGAGAAGTCCTTGGGGTCATGGAAGGCTTCTCTGAGAGGGCAGGTGAGGGGGTGAGCAGGCACAAGCATCCCCCCACATGTGCCTACAGGGGCCAAACCCTTTGCTTGTGAGTACTGCCACTTCAGCACACGGCACAAGAAGAATCTACGCCTGCACGTACGGTGCCGACATGCAAGCAGCTTTGAGGAATGGGGGCGACGCCACCCCGAGGAGCCCCCCTCCCGTCGTCGCCCCTTTTTCTCTCTGCAACAGATTGAGGAGCTGAAGCAGCAGCACAGTGCAGCCCCTGGGCCACCCCCCAGCCCCCCAGGACCTGCTGAGGTAAGCTCAGCCAAGCAGGCAGCAGACAGAAAGGGCTGGGGCATGTGCCAGGATGACAGTGTGATGTGACCTCTTCCAGCATCCTCATTTGCACATTGGGTGCAACAAAGTGATCCCTGCCTCTCTGGATCGTGGTAAAGAGCAGCTGAGGTGCCCTGACTGGTTTGTCTCAGTGGTTAAAGCGTTGGCCCGTGGACTGAAGGGTCCCAGGTTCAATTCTGGCCAAGGGCACATACCTCAGTTGCAGGCTCCATCCCTGGCCCTGGTTGGCGAGTGAACTGGAGGCAACCGATTGATGTTTCTCTCTCACATCGATGTTTCTCTTTCTCCCTTCCTTCCACTCTCTCTGAAAAGCAATGGAAAAAATACCCTCAGATGAGGATTAAAAAAATTTTTTTAAATTAAAAAAACGCAGCTGAGGTCACAGACATGCCAGCCCTAAACTCAGAGTAGGGGTAGCTTTCCAGTGCTAGTAATAGAGAGTGGAAATATCAATAGCTTAACTGTGATAATAGTTTATTATTTTCCCATATAAAGAAAGTCTAAACGTCAGCAGTTCAGCGCTGGTGTGGCAGCTCCATGGCCAGTCATCAGGGACCAAGTTCTCTCTGTATTTTTTGCCAGCCCTCTTAGGGATACCACTTCCATCTTTGTGGTTGCTCATGGTTCAGTATAGCTGTAGGAGCTCCAGCCTTCCTAGCCACATCCTAGGCACAAAGCAGGAGGAAAGGATGGGGGAAAGGCAAAAAGGATGTCTGCCATCTATCCACGTATCTTCCTTGTGAACTTTACCAGAAGCTCCTGCTCAGCCATATGACCACACTTTACCTAACTATAAGAGAGGCTAAGAAATATAGTCCTGTAGCTGAGCACGTTTCCTCTTCACTTCCCCACCAAAAGATGGACTGTCACGATGTGCTGATAGAACACAGGCTCTGGAATCAGTCTTGTGTTCAAGTCCCAGTTCTTCTATTTACTGGCTTTGAGATCTTAAGCCAGATACTTCACCTCTCTGAGCCTCAGCCAGTTCATCTGTAGCATTGAGCTGGTAAATGCCTTTAAAAGTGGTTGTGAAGATGAAACAAGCCAACATATATAAAGTGCCCAATACATAGTATGTGCTTGGCACTTGAATCTGAGCTGCCCTCTCAGGGTTGGCTATATCCCCACCCTGCAGGTCCCCCCAGAGGCAGCACCTTTCCAGTCACCTGAGACTCCCCCACTGCTCTGTTCTGACACCCTGGGTGGTGCCACCATCATCTACCAGCAAGGTGATCTCTGAGGAAGGGTGGGAGCCAGGGTGCTGGGGAAGGGTAGGGCTCGTGCTGGAGGAGGGGGAGGGCATTGGGTGCCATTTTTCCAGCCCTTTCTAAGTCTCAGGTCCCACCCAACCCAGGAGCTGAGGAGTCTACTGCCATGGCTACACAGACAGCTTTGGATCTGCTGCTGAACATGAGTGCTCAGAGGGAGCTGGGGGCTGCCGCCCTGCAGGTGAGCTACCTGGGGACCTCTTCAGTGAACACTGGGAGGAGAGGAGAGCAACGAAGCAGACATGCCCCACCCTTGGGGAGCTCCCAGTTAGTGGGTGAGACAGATACACTGACACCCATTGGGGACAGGCACAGGAGGGGCACCAGCTGTGCCAGGGAGGCTTCAGGAGGTCAGGGAGGTCAGAGGATCTCCCACTTCACTCTCCAGAATCGCTAGCAACCTCTGCAATGCTGAGCAGTGAGCACTGCTTCTCATGCTTTCCTAGCTCTGTGGCCAGCCTGTGCCTATGGGTCTAGACTAGCTTTCCATCTAGCTTAATGTCCTCATTCATGACACCTCCTGCAGCCTGAGGAACTCCAAGGCTTTCTCTAGCTCAGACCTCTCTCTTGCCTGTGCATCTCAAGCCCACACTCTCCCAAGTTCATCTTTACTTCTTATTCTTCCATCCAGCTCCAGGTTCACCTTCACCCCCATCTCCTCTCCTCCTGTACCTCCCTGCACTTCTCTAAGACAGAGAAGTTTGTGTGTGCCTCCTGTCTCCCAGCCTTTCGAAAAGATGTATATTTTTGAGGTGATAAATTTCAAGAACTTGGAGCAGTAACAGGCTGCTGGGGGCTGGGACAAAACTCCATGGAAGAGGGAGCCTGGTGTTGGATCTGGAAATCTTCATAAGATTTAACTTACGGTGTTTGGAGGTGTAGAAAAGTTTTACATTTTTAGATACTTAAACATATCAGTCTTTAATCGTTTTGCCTTTAGTATCATCCCTGGAAAGGCCTCCTTCACCCCCCAAGACTATATAAACATTCATTTGTACTTACTTCTTAGGGTTTTAGTTTTTACACTTAAATTTTCACTCCAACTTATTTTTGGTGTATGCAAAAAGCTAGGAGACTAACTTAATATTTTTTCCAAAGTTGTCCAGTGCAGTATATCGAATAATCTTCCTAGTGGTTGGAAATGTCCCCTTTATCATTCTCTAGATTCCCACACATTCTGACCTGTCTTCTCTTCTTGTGCCAGTATCATGCATTTTTTATTACAAAAGTGTATGCTTGTAAAAAACAAAATGAACATTATGTTCTATATATAAGGTGAAAGTCTTTAACATTCCTCCCTTCCCTTAGATGACCACTGTTAGCAGGTTAATAAGCATGTCTCAAGTTTTATTCATGGGCACACTGACAGACGTTTTGTTTCTTAAAAAGTGGGATGTCATCTCATCAACAACCTGTCTTTTCTTCACTCAGCAGTGTGGGGGGCTCAGCCTGGTGGGTACATGCAGATCTTCCCAACATCTCCACATCACATCTCCATATCCTTCCATCAGATGTCATAATGTTTACTTCGTTAGTCCTTCACTGGTTGGGTTGTTTCGTTTTTCATTAACTCAAGGCAGTGCTTTAGTGCACATATATTTTCAGGTGATCATAGACATTTTTTTATTTAAAAAAATAACAAAAAAACCTCCTAAAAGTAGAATTGGTGGGTCTGAAGGTATGAAGCCTCATAAAAATATATGCCAGTTTATAGGACCACCACTAGAGAGGGTTTCTCTACACCCTTGCTGACACTGGGTATCATCAGTCTTTATAAATTTCTTCAATGTAATAGAAGCATATTTCATGATCATAATTTATAATTTTGTGATCATAAATGAGATTGAACTTCTTTCTGTATGTTCATAGACCATTTTATTTCTTCTCTGACATACCTGTGTGTGTCCTGTATCATCTTTTAAATTAGTCCTTTTTATTATTGCTTTGCAAGAGCTCTTTATATAAAAAGTCCACCTTTTCTCTCTCATATGAATTGTTAAATCCCAATCAACTCCTCTCCCCAATTTCTTTGTTTTCTGATTTCATTTTATGGTTTGTTGTGTTGTAGGTTGTGGCATATTTCTGTCATGATTAGAAAAATCTTCCTACCCAAGGATATAAAAAGTTATCCACATTTTTTCTTCATGTATGTAGAGTTTTATTATTACATTTAGTCTTTAATCCATTTGAAGCAGGCTTTGGAGTAAGATCTGAAGTCACACTCTTTTTTTTTCTTAAATGTTTTGCCATTTGTCCCTCTACTCCAAGATTTCTCAACCTTGGCACTTTGCGCCAGATAATTCTTTGTTGTGGAGCTGTTCTGTGCATCCTAGGATGTTTAGCAGCATCCCTGACCTCTACTTGCGAGATGCCGGTTGCACCCCGCTCCCACTTGTAACAACCAAAAAAATGTCTCCAGACATTGCCCAGTGCCCCTAGGGGGTAGTATTGCTCTACCCTGTTCTTGTTAAGTTTATTTCCAGTAGCTGAACGGGATCTGGAAAGCCAAGCTGTGTTTTGGAAAGAACACACAGTTGGGGTTGTGCAAATAAGGGCTGGCAGCACTGGGTCTGGCCAGAGCTTGGGTGAGCTTTGAGTCCTTGAGATAGAGAAGAGCCTTAAACACCAGCTCCTTTGTCATAGACCCTGCTCAAAATGCACACTGGTGCCGTTGCAGGTGGCTGTGGTGAAGTCAGAGGATGCGGAAGCACAGTTAGCATCCCCTGGTGGGCAGCCCTCCCCAGTGAGTACCACTCCACAAGTGGTAACCCTCCATGTGGCAGAGCCAGGGGGCGGTGTGGCAGCCGAGAGCCAGCTAGGCCCCCCTGACCTACAGCAGATCACCCTGGCACCCACTCCATTTGGTGGGGCTGGCTACAGTGTCATCACAGCACCCCCTATGGAAGAGGGGACATCAGCTCCTGGCACACCCTACAGGTAAGGCCTGCCGCCTGCAAGGCTCCCTTCAGCCAGTTGTAATCATGCTGCAGGGAGTCAGAAGGACCCTTCCCATCCAGGCATAGTTGTCGGGAGGTAAAAATCCTAATACATATAAAGGGTTTGGACCATAGAGGAGTTGTATCCTTCTCAGGTCAAAAGCTACTGTCTTTTGACCACTTAGATGTTCCAGGCACTTGACATTTGTGAGCTCACCTAAACCATTCCCAGGAGGTCCACGTTTCCCTCATTTTACAAATGAGGAAACAGGCTAAGGAGGTTAAATAACTCTCCTAAGGTTAGCCATATAGGTGAGGATTTTAGCCCTGCTCCCTTTGGTTCTAAAGCCCATGTGCTTTGTTCTGGATGATACCTGAAGGTGTTTTCCAGTTCTGACCTTTGGAACTGGGGTTTGTTGGTGGCATTGGAGGCCTGGCATCTGCTCTCGGCTTCCTCCACACTTGAGCAAATTTTGGGCAGAAATGTATTTTATGTTGACCAAACCCCTGGGCAGTCTGAGGATGCCCTGAATCCAAGTACCAAACTGTGTAGTTGGGATGGGAGTCTGGATCACTGGCCCCGTATCTAGGCAGCCCTGTCTCAGCATCTGCCCTCTACTCTTGAGCTGCAGGTCCCTGTCAGTCCTGTCTCCCCTACTTGACCAGACTTGGGCTGGAACCCTTGGGCCTTTGCCCTGCCACTCCCCACCATGCCCATCAGGGGGTGGGATTATCACTCGTGAGCAGGATGATACTCTGGACACGGCACCATTGACAGAAGACAGTGGAGGTTCAGCTGGTAAAGGGCAGAGCCAGGATTTAACCTGTGGTGCAATCACCCCTCAGTTGATGGCTTTGGTGGGGAAGGGTACTTCTGTGGTCCTCTATCCCCTCCTAGAACGCTGACTCACCTCTCTCTTCCTCTGTGCCCACAGCGAGGAGCCCCCAGGGGAGGCAGCCCAGGCTGTGGTTGTGAGTGACACCCTGAAAGAAGCTGGCACCCACTACATCATGGCAGCTGATGGGACCCAGCTGCATCACATCGAGGTGAGGCTGGGTATCCCACCAAACCCCATTTCCCTTCCCATCCTTCCTTCTTCATGCTCCCATCTTTCCACAGCTGACTGCAGATGGCTCCATCTCCTTCCCAAGTTCCGATGCCTTGGCCTCTGGAGCCAAGTGGCCTCTGCTGCAGTGTGGGGGACCACCCAGAGACGACCCTGAGCCCCCAACTCCAGCTAGAACCCACCCAACAGGAGACCCCCAGGGCTCTGCCTCCCCACCTCCTACAACTAGCAAAGCCTTGGGCCTACTAGTGCCCCCCTCACCACCATCTGCAGCCACTGCATTGTCAAAGAAGTTTTCCTGCAAGATCTGTGCTGAGGCCTTCTATGGCCGAGCTGAAATGGAGAGTCACAAACGGGCCCATGCTGGACCGAGTGCCTTCAAGTGCCCTGATTGCCCCTTCAGCGCCCGCCAGTGGCCTGAGGTCCGGGTAGGTGCCACCCTGTCTCTACTGGCACTGTCTTGTGTCACAGACCTTGCCTGAGCACTCCCTCAAGCCAGCCCCCTGTTCCTCTCTAGTCAGAAATGACTCAGCAAAGCTCCCAGGCAGCTCAGTCTGTGAAGAGGGAGACCAGATGACATGACTGATGCCCAACAGTGTCCCCAGAGTAAACAATGCACATGGCAGAGCACAGGCAGGGAACATGTCCTGTGGACTTGGGGTGCTGGGAGATGCCACAGAGAAGTGGCGGCATGTGGCATGCTTAGGGAAATTCCAGTCACTTAGAATACAGAGGGCACAGAGTTCAAGGGAGGTTCTGGGGCAGGTTCATGGTCCAGTTTGGGGGACTCCGTCCCTTCACCCGAGGATTTCGTTTTCAGATCCAACCATACACTGAATTCTCACAGCACTTCAGTAATGGGAGCAGGGCCCAGGAGCCTAGAATGTCAGGGCTGGGAGAGACTGTCAGAGGTCCCTTCATCTGAACCTATACATTTAGGGGTAAACTGAGTCTGAGCAGGGACAGGATTTTCCAAGTGACCAAGCACAGAGCCTCTGGCTTTCCCTCTCTTAAGGACATGGCACCAAATCTTGGTCTGGTTTGTACTTTTTACGCAGCTCCTTCCAGATCCAGTTCAGAGGACAGTTCCCTAACAGCTCTTTGGGAGTTGTCTGTCCAGACCCAGCTGATGCCCCCAACTCTGCCCCTCTATAGGCCCACATGGTGCAGCACTCAAGCCTGCGGCCTCACCAGTGCAGCCAGTGCAGCTTTGCCTCCAAGAACAAGAAGGACCTGCGGCGGCACATGTTGACCCATACCAACGAGAAGCCTTTTTCATGCCACCTCTGCGGGCAGCGGTAAGACTTGGTACATATGGGCTGGGGCTACTGGGCATGCATGGTAGGGCCGCCCCTGAGCCTTTGTCCCTCCCCTGCAGTTTCAACCGGAACGGGCACCTCAAGTTCCACATCCAGCGGCTACATAGTCCTGATGGGAGAAAGGCAGGGACCCCTACTGCCCGGGCCCCAGCTGGGACCCCCACCCAGACCATCATTCTGAACAGTGATGACGAGACACTGGCTACACTGCACAGTGAGCTGCCCCAGGGGACCCAGGGTAGACGAGGGACTTGAGCCACTGCTCCAGAGAGCACCCTTGGGCCATGGTGGGGCCTGGGGCATATCAGATTTTCCTGGAGCCCCTGAATGAGCATGCTCCCCTCTCTGCCCAGCTGCACTCCAGTCCAGCCACGGGGTCCTGGGCCCAGAGCAGCTACAGCAGGCACTGGGACAGGAACACATCATCGTGGCCCAGGAGCAAACAGTGACCAATCAGGTAAGAGCCTGCACTGGGGGCCCTGCTGGCAGGTCAAGGGAAAGGGTGGGGCTCATAGAGAGCTAAGGCTAGAGCTGGCTTGGCTGTGGCAGGAGGAAGCCACCTACATCCAAGAGATCACCACAGCAGATGGCCAGACAGTACAGCATCTGGTGACCTCCGACAACCAGGTGAGCTGCTGCTGAACACCTCAGCTGTGAGTGCCCCCCTCCCAGGCCACACTTTGGGAAGCAATACTTTCCAAACCACCCCTCCCAGGGTGTGTGCTTGCAACTGCCAATAGCGCCCCAGGCCCCTCTGCTCTGCTATCCGTACTGAGCTCCTGCTGAGCAGGGCCCCAGCACCTGCCTCCTCTCCACCCTTCAGGTACAGTACATCATTTCTCAGGATGGAGTTCAGCACCTGCTCCCCCAGGAATATGTTGTGGTCCCAGAGGGCCATCACATCCAGGTAGGCCAGGCCTGGGATGTGTGTGTGATGTGAGGAGAGGGATGCACAACCTCCTTCTGGGATCACCAGGTTGGCTTCCTCTCTCCAGGTACAGGAGGGCCAAATCACACACATCCAGTATGAACAAGGAGCCCCATTCCTTCAGGAGTCCCAGGTAAGTAAGTGCCCTCGGGAGACCAGGTGGAGCTGGGGCATGGGCAGGGCTCTTCTAAGGCCACATCTCATTGGCTTCTCCCCTCCAGATCCAGTATGTGCCTGTGTCCCCAAGCCAGCAGCTTGTAACACAGGCCCAGCTAGAGGCTGCAGCACACTCAGCTGTCACAGGTATGGTGCTTAGATCCTGAAGACCATGGGGCCCGGGGCCCAGGCCTAGCTTCTGGGGCCTCAGGCTCACCATCCTTTCCCCTCCTCTGGCAGCGGTGGCTGATGCTGCCATGGCCCAAGCCCAGGGCCTATTTGGCCCAGAGGAGACAGTGCCTGAACACATCCAACAGCTGCAACACCAGGGCATCGAGTACGACGTCATCACCCTGACCGATGACTGAGCCTCAGGGGCACAACAGACCATGGATATTGGGGCTAGCCCTGCTAGGGGTGGGGAGGACCCACCAGGAATCACCTCCCTGCTGTACCTAGGATCTTCAGATACTGGACAGCCAGCATACTGTTGCTCCAAGGGAGCCAGACCTGTGCTATGGGGGTTGGGGGGGCAGCCAAGGGCACCAGCCAGGACATGCTGGGTGCCCCAGCCTGCAGGCAGGCTTTGGGAGAGAAATTTTATTTTTGTTTTGACGGACCCACTGGCCTCAGTCTCAATAAAGGGACCAGAGTCCAGCCCTGGCCGGCTCACTTTGTCCACTTGCTGCTACAGCCTGAAGCAGGCAAGGAGTTGGGGAGCAGAAGGAAAGGTGGAGCCTGTTACAGCCACAAGCAGGGAGTGAGGTGGAGGCAGCCTAGCCCACAGTGCATCCAGCCTTGCCTCTGTAAGTACAGTGGCCGGACAGCAGGGCAGACCCTTGGGGCAGATGCCCAGCACAGCCCGCAAGAGCTCCCAACTTCCTCCCCTGGGCCCCAGAGGAGCAGCCTGTGATGGCTCTGAGCTCTATTTCCTCCAGACCCCTGATGGTAAAACACACCTGGCTGCCCACTCACTGTGGTGGTTCCAGGGCCAGCAGGTATCTAGGTTTCTACCTGGGCACAGCCACCAGTCCTCTGCTTCCCAGATGGATTAACACAGGCTTGGCACAGGCTCAGCTGTGGGAGTTTGGGGTTTACCAGATAGATGGTGCAAGGCTCTGGACTCCAGACCTACTAGGCACAGGCTAAGGCCACCAGGGTCCCAGTTGTGGGGACAGCAGGATAAGAAGTTAGACTTAGAGCCCTGGGGTGGGGTGTTAAGGCCCAGGGTTCATGGGGTGAGCCTGGATGTACAGGAGTGTGGCTCCAGGTTCCTCAGCTTTCTCTGCCCTCAAGACCCTCACTCATTCTTACCGGAGGGTTTTTGTATTTCCTTTTACAAATGAAACAAGGTGGCACAGGAGGGGGGAGAGAAGGCGTGGGGCCTATTTACAGTGGACTTGGAGTTTGAGGTGGGAAGTTGGGGGTAGGGCAGGGAGGGGGAGCCTTGGCAGAGCCATAATCTTCCTATGTCATTGGCAGCCTGAGAGCCCTGAGTCCCAGCAGTCCGTACCAGCACCCTGGGGCTCCTCCTCCCCGCAAGATATGTTAAGTGGGGTGAGACTCTCGGCTAGGGCCCTGCTCTCGGCCTGAGTCCCGGTCCTTGGCCTCAGAGGATGAGGAGGAGGAGCTGGAGCCATGGCTGCGGCCTGACTGCCGGTAGGCTGTGCTCAGCTCCTGCAGCCTCTCTGCTGTTGGCCCCCACTTGGCAAAGCCAGGGTCGTTCTGCAGGAAGAGCACCGCTGTGTTGTGGACCGCCTTGTAGTGCATTTCCTCCCTGCGGGCAGAGACAGCGGCTCAGGGTAGGGCTTGGCTGACCCAATCAACACAGCCTTCCTCCCCCTGCCCTCCCCGGGCACCCACTTCTTGCAGATGTGTTGGGACCCACTGCGGTACTCATGCTCAAAGGCGGGCAGGACCAGCTGGTGGCGTTTAAAGCGGCTCTGCTCCATGCGGGTGAGCGCTGGTGTCGGGGGTTCCCGCCACTCAGGGATGAACACAATAAAGGACAGGGGCTCCGGTGAGGTCTCGAGCAGTTTCTGTGGGAGGTGGCACGGAGTGGACGTCAGGGACTGCCCTCCAGGTGGCTGGCAATCTTGCTTGCCATCCCCCACCGCAGAAGCAGCACACCCACCTCGAAGTGAGAGACCATGGCATCCATGAGCTCCTCACAGAACGGAGGGTTGGCCTCAAAGGAACCACTGAGCGGGGAGAAGTCCAGGCAGGGCCTAGGGACAGAGGTGAGCATTCTAAGTCCCAGTCCCTCAGCCAAAAACAGGTGCTTCCCCCACCCGTAGGCAGCCACATTGAAGAGATGGTCCTGATCAGGCCAGAGGCCAACATTCATCCCTAATTCATCCTGGCACAAGATGTGGCCACCTCTATTGAACAGATGAAGACAGGCTCGGGCTTGATGACCCAAGTCTACCCAGCTGATTAGTGGAGGAACTGGAGCTCAATCCAGCTCTGACCCCACTGCCACCACAGCACAAGCCATACCCAGGAATTCCCTAGCTGCTGAACTTCCCCTGTTGCTGGCCTGGCCTTGTCTTCCTACTGGAGACAGCATCATCTGCTCCATGCTCATCTCCCTCTTCCCCCACAACCCCCATGTTAGTCTGTAAGGCCTGTGAGTGTGTATCACCATTTCTCTTTCCTCCTAGTACTCCAAATATGGGCTAATTCACTGAGAAACCCACAGGCTTGGGGTCATAGGCTCCCAGAGATTCAGGGATATGTCCAAGGTCACATAGCTGGTGGGGTGAAGGCAGGGACTACACCCAAGACTGCCTGACTCCAAAGCATTAGAAAGCAGCTGACCGAGGTGGGATCTGTGCTCTGGATGACAGCTTCCCAGGCCTGGGCAGGAGGGGCCCAGTAGTCCCCTAGCTCTCACCCGCGGGAGCCAAAGTAGCCATCTGTGTCGGGGAAGGCAGAGCAGTACTGGCGGAAGTAGCAGTTGAGGGGTGAGGCAAAGCACTCAAAGCTGACACCGAAGAGTCGGTGGAGGGCCTCGAACACGTGCACCGGCAGCGATCCCTGCAGGCCTGTCCCCTCGTAGAGGCCCACGCCAAACATCATCTGCAGAGTGGCCACAGTCAGCATCTGATGCTCAGCCTCCCCCTCCAGAGGAGCCCTCCCCTGCTGCCCCAGGCCAATACCTGGTACCGTCGGAGAAGACACCAGACTCGGGGCAGAAACCTCTCAAAGGCAGAGTCATCAATGCAGCTGTAGCGATAAAGGAGCCACTGTGGGAAAGAAAGCAGTGGGCTTCAATTCAGCACAGGTGCCTCCCTCATCACTGGCTTCTGAGGATTCTGGGTTAAGAAAGATCTAGCCTTGTTTCTCCCACCTGTGGAGACCTGCCTCCCCCTTCCCCCAGCTCTTACCAGTTTACTGAAGTAGTTGCGGCTGACCTTGACCATCTCTCCCTTATACCGGATGCAGACCACATTATTCTCTATGTGCATCTCCACGCTGGGCATGGGAGGCGCAGACACAGCCAGCCGTACTGGATAGCAGTATACCAGGCGGGGTTCCACCTCTGGGGCCTCCACCTCCTCTGTGGACAGGGAGAGCAGTGAGGGGCCACCCTGTCCCTACTCAGCCAGTACTCACCCTGGACAGCCTTGGTGTCCACTGTGTGCCAGGGGCTTCCCACCTCATCCCAATAACCAAGGGAGGTACATCCCATCCCACAGAGGAGTAAGTGCAGCTCCGACAGTTCGGTAGCAAAAGACACGGCCAGGTGATTAGTAGGGGCAAGAACTGGTGGCCATGCCTCAAGGCCTGGCAGGCAAGCTTGGCTCAGATGCTATGCAGAACTACATCATCTTCATCACAATAGTTACAATACCTCACTTAGGGATCTTTTGGGGCCAAACACTTTTAAGTTACCACTGAATCCTCCTCATGTGATCCTATAGATATCATACCTCAGTTTGAGGAAACAGGCTGACAGAGAATGGATATAAATGAAAGTCTAACTACTTATCCCCTGCGTGTTTCTCTCCCACCTTCTCTCCTCACTTCTCCGTTTCCTAGAGGAGTCATGAGACCCCTGGCCAAAGGACACAGCAGATCGTGTCCCAGACATTGCTAGGAGGAATGGGCCTCCCCAAACCAGTCTGTGCCTTGAGGCTACCTCACTTGTCCCTTCAATCACAGCCTAGGATAGAATTTATGGCCTCACAGCTGGTTCCCTGCTACTGGCTTCCTACCTGGGATGTTGTTTTCCTTGAGGATGGCAAGGTGCTTCTCTCGGATCCGTTTGACATACTCCAGGGAGATGTGGTAGATCTTACTGCAGATGCCCTCCACGGAGTCCTTGGCCGCAGCCGAGACATGGGGGCCACACTGTTTCCGCAGATGCTCCAGGCGATCCTGGGGGAGATAGGGCTCTGATGGGCTCGCAGGCAAGGGAGGGCTGCTGGAATGCAGCCGTCCTCATTTTGAAACAGGTTCTGCTACTTACTAGCTGTGTCACTTGGACAAACCCCTTGATGTCTCTGAATCTTAAGGGTACATGATATACTTACCTAGCAAGGCAGGTAATTAGGTGGAATACTAAATATGATCATTACTGTTAAGGGCTTAACAAGCCCCTGGCATACAGTAAGTGTCCAATAAATGCCATCATTTAATGTGGGAGTTACACTGTGCCATATCCCATGATACTTGCTGAGGAAACAGATAACCAGGCATAGTCCCTGCTTATAAAGCATTTGCAGTCTATCGAGGAGAGAAACCATTACAAAATGGGGTCCTTCCTAAATCATTGCAGATTTGAAATTTGATCTTTTATTAACTTGCAAGAATAAATGTGGGCCTTTGTAATTCTGCTGAATCACACATGTGAAAGTGATGAGTGAAAATGAGTCTCTCTGGCTAGTGAGCACACACCTACCTTTGTCAACCTCTATGTGTCAAGTACACAGTTGCTATTGTGAAGTGCGAAACTTTGTTTCTTGTGAAAAATGGTCCTGAAAAGAAAGCCCATTGCTAGTCCTGTTGGAGAATTAAAGAAGTGATGGGTTTGGGCCAGGAAAAAAAAATGTGTGGGAAACATTAAAATAGGGAATTGAATCTTGTGGTAGCTCTTATACATGGTATGAATACACACACCCAAGAAAAGACAGTTGGTCAGTCTGTTTCCAAAAATCTCAAGAGATGTTCATTGTTCATTAAGTTGAAAAGGCAGCTACTGATGGCAGCCAAGCACAGGATTCCATTAAGAACCTTAATGGAAATGTTCTTTGGGAGAAAGCCAGGAGTCTAGACAACCATCTCCATTCACATGAGTTTGGGGACTGATGAGTGTCAAAGGTCTGCTGTTTTGCACAGGAAGAGGTTGCTGTGGGGCCCTGCCCAGCCTGGGCAGGCAAAGTGGGCTTCTGGGAGGAAGTGGCTACAGCCTTTCCATTGACATTACCCAGGGCCACTCACCATGTAGTCTTCCTTTGAGGCTGAGTGGTCCTTCCGCAGCCAGCTGAAGGTGTCCTCCACATTCCACTTGACCACCTTCCTACTGTCAGGGGATGCACTCCTGCCAGAGGGCACACAGCGAGGCAGTGGTTAAGTGTATGCTCCACTCTCCTTACTCCTCCCATCCCACTTCCACTGGTACTCAGGCATCAACCCCTAGGCTTACATCACAGCCTTTC